GCCACCTGTGGTTGTGTTTTCCAAAGTTGGCCAGACAGCATCTCTCATCCTGCATTCTTTTATTTTTTTTAATTTTAAGATTTTATATTTAGAGAGAGGGAAAGGGAAGGAAAAAGAGAGGGAAAGAAAATGGATGTGAGAAGCCTCCACCCTTGTGCCCCAACCTACGTTCCCTGATCAGAAGGAACTGGTGTCCTTTCATTTCCAGAGGACTTCAGGGCCCGCATGCTCTTTTGCATGTGACCTTGCCACTCTTCATCAAGAGGCGGAGTTTCCTCCACCCTCCCCACCCACCCCAGTGAAGCCAGGAGGCCCTGGGGCTGCTTTGACTAGGAGACAAAGGAGTTGCTGCTGTGCACTCTGGCACAGCCCCTGACTGGCCCGGGGCTTTGCTTTCCGCCTTAGAGAAGCCAGCAGGTACCTAAGAATGTCTCTGTGCTGAGACCACTCTGCTGCTCACAGCAGAGAAGCCTACTTGGCGAGATCCTGGGGCATGAAAATGCCCCATAGAAGGGACAAAGGACAAGGAGCATGGAGCCCCCGGAAGCAGAAACACCCAAGACGATAGGAATTTCACTTAATTTCTCTGATTTTACACTTGAATCTCTTTTATGCTCAAAATCTTGAATCCTAAGGACATTAACATGATCAGTTATTTGCTTTATCTTACAATATCCCCATAAACCTTCCAAATAACAGTAAGGACAATGCCAACCTTGTTAGAATATCAAGAGCGGGATCTTGAAAAGATAATTTTCAGTTCCTTTTGTCTTTACAATACCTCCCTTTAGGGCAGGGCTTCACATCTGGGGCTGGCTGATTCTTCATTGCGGGAGCACCTCTGGGCCTTGTGGCCTCTACCCTCCACCCATTTAGGTGCCAGTAGCAACACTCCAGTTGAGGCAAGCAAAAATGACCCCAGACACTGCCAAATGTGGACTGGGGAGCAAGACTGCCCCCCTAAAGACTGCTGCTCCAGGGATATGCAGTCAAAATGCTGGACTTCGATTTGTTGGAGGTCGTTCTGTCCGTACCGTGATGCCACCAGCTGGGGGTGTACTTAGGCTCACTTGTTTCAGAGGTTGAAAGGGTTTAGGGATTGCTTTACATGCGCCTAATTTTTGAAAAATGTGTGTAAGACATTTATATCATTCTGAAATGAAAATTGGCCTCCAGGTATTTTTTTAGTTTAATTTTCTTGTTTTTTAATCATGTGAAACATAACATAGAATAGCAGTGCTGGCCAAGAACTTCTCACATATCCACCCTGCTCCCTGTACGGTAGCCATTTTGATTAGTTTGGGGATTATCCTACCACTTAAAAAACTAAGTATGTATTTAAATATACTTATATGCATATTTACTTTATTTATTACTGCCTTTCTTACACAGAAGTCCCCATGCTATAGACCTGTTGCACCTCCCTGAAAGCAAGGATTTCCATCGGTTATAACTGAAGTGATCAAGTGGCTACTGCCTGCAAAGCTCTGTGGCAGGCGCCTGGAGTCTTGTCTTCACTGGGGAAGACAGACTAGTACAGAAGCCATTTCCATTACTCGGTGCCAAATTTCCGAGTTGTCCAATCGCGTGCCTGATTTCTGCCACGTGATTGGGCGTCCTCCTACTTCTGCCCTCTGATAACACACTGAGTGAGGAGCCTTCGTGTGACCTTGAATGAGGACATTCTTGATTAAAGAAACGATTGGAGTGAGGTGGTTTGCTTGGGACAAAGTTCCCTTAGAGCAGGTTCCCGACTTGCCTGAGATGTGTTCACAAAAAACGCCAACTGAGCAAGTGTTAAAAACGAGGGGTGTGACCTAGCCAGGGACCCCTGTCTTTACACTTGTATTATTTAGCTACTGGATTCTCTGATGTGAGCCCTCAGGAAATCTGCATCAACTTTAGCCCCTTTACCTCTGCATTCCTCAATTGTCAAAATATCAATGAGAAAAGTTGCATGCGAATAAATTTGTTAATTTTTATTATAAAAATGTCCAAATATAAACAAAAATAGAGAATGCAAGGGACTGCTTAGCCATCACCCAGTTTCAACAACCACCAGCCTGTTGCCATGCTTGGTTCATTTCTCCTCACCTGTTTTTTTCTGAAGTATTTCAAATCAGACTCCACTTAAGTCATTTCACTCTGAAAGTCATTTTTGAAAAAAATTAGGTGGTGGTGAGGTGGGGGCAGGGCATTTTCTTACATAACTGCAATGTGGGAATCACACCTATTGAAAATACCGACTTGTTAATGGCCGCCAATATTGGGTCCAAATTTAGAATTCTCTGACTTTCCGAAACAAAAAACGAAGCCTCCATTGTCTTTACTGTTAGATTAAACCAGAGTCTAAAGAAAGTTCACTCACTGTATTTGGGGAGCCTGCAATGGGTCGTAGGCTGACAACAACTGAGCCCAAAACATTCTGGGGTGGGTGAAAAATTTTCAAGTGTCAAACGATATTAGCTCCTGGTTGGTCTGACCCCAGAGCTGCAGGGTTGTGTTCCCGTCAGAGTTCAAGTTGGGCATTCTCTGTTCCCACCACGGTCTCTCCGTTCCCGCCATGGTTCCTTCCTTCCTTCCCATTCCTTCCCTCTTGGCGTGTTCCAGTTGGTTAGTGTGTGGAGTAGACTTAAGGAGCTGTATCCCCAATTATAAATCATCAAATCGGGATTGATGTCCCTGCTTTAACAATAAAGAAGCTCATCACTTAGAGGGTGGGTGACCTTGTCTTGAGCTCAGTATTAGTTGTAAATTCCAGATCTAGGCCAACCATTCATAGCTTTGCCTGATTCTTCTTTCACAGAAAAGCTGTGTAAGTTCTGTTCACCCTTTGGTTCCTCGTAAAGGCCCATTTCACCCATCAGTCATTTGGAAATACCCAGGGGCCCGTCATGGTTAGAGCACAACATGGTTAGAGCGTGCATCCTGGACAGAGTACAGCTTCATCATGAGATACATAGATTTTGCAGCCAGGCTTTCCAAGTTCAAATCCCAGGTCTGCCCAATATGACCTGAGAAAATTGGGTAAATCATTTGACCTCTTTCTTCGTTTCTCTGTAAAATGGGAATGATAATACCTACTTCGTCAGGTCGTCACGAGGATTAAATGCATTAACACACAGAAAGCCCGTGAAATGTGGCCCACCACAGTGTTACATGTATTTGTTATTGTTATTATTCTGCACCTACCACTTAGATGATGTGAGACTTTCAGCAAGTCCCAAGCTAAAATCTCTCCCGTTCCTTATCTCTAACTTGGGGAACTTACTAACAGAAATAACTTAAAGATTAAAAGGCAAATCACCAAAAGCTGAAAGAAAGGACAGTGTTTGCTACACAATAAGCACTCAATAAATGTTAACTATTGTTAATCTGGCACTTCGTATTTACCATGTACAGATCCTAGTCAGAAAGGCAGATGTCAGAAACATGGGCATCTCTTTATTTTCAACACACCACCTCGGTTTTGTCTCCAGCTTCTTACTGCCTCAGTCTTTCTTAGACTTCTTTTCCCTGGCTCTTTTGGGACAGTCTGTGCCAGAGATCTGAGACCTAACATAATGACCAGGTTTCTGGACAGTCTTGTTAGTCATTGGGCCCCCATCCACTCAGATGTCCCTAATCTTCGTCCTGGAGGTCTCTGCCAGACCTGTGCCACACTTGGGACTCAGGTCTTGGCCAAGCCTATGGGCCCTTGCACAGTCTCCTGGTGCATCCTTTCTATCCACAGCCTTAGAAGACTCCTGGGATCTACAGACCTTTCTCTTACATCTTGCCCAAGTCTATGGAAATTTCTTATTAATCCAGAAGATTCTTTTGTTCTCTCACCTTGTTCACCTCAGTGGATTTTTGGAAACAAGAACCTGGCACAAGTCTCTCCACAAGAGACAGAGAAGCTCAGGGCCTTGAGTGGGAGGAGGCAAGAGAGGAGCATCATGCTTCACCATCTGACAAAGCTCTGCCTGCCACGTGTACTGGCATGACCATCACGCAGAAGGGACTTCATCCCACAGTCACCGGATGGCCACCTACAAGTGCCAGGCACGGAAAAAAAATGCCCGAACTAGGAACCACCCTCACCCTCAAAGAGTGTTTCTTGAGCACTGGTCCTCAAATAGCGGTGATTTGGGTCCCCAAGGGACACTTGGCAATGTCTGGAGACATTTTTTAATTGTCATAGCTGGATGGGGTCACGCTACTGGCATCTGGTGGACAGAGGCAGAGGTGTTGCTAAATGCCCTACAATTCACAGGAACGGCCCCTTATAGCAAAGAATGAGTTTGCCTACGATGATGTGTAGATCATGTCATGGATGGGGCAGGAGCTGTCATGCAGGGCAGAAGAAAATGACTGGCCAATGGTGCCAGAGGCTTGTCGGACAAAGATTACTAAAGGGAAAAGTTTCTGGACAGATAAAATTTTTCCTGGGGGGTTTTCTTTTTCTTTAATCACAGAGGAGTAATAACCTGGGATAAGGAGGAACTGAGACTTTAACTCATAGTGCTTTCCACACAGTCTTAAACATCAGTTGTCTAGAAAAAGTGCAAAGAGCTCAACAGCCAGCTCCCTCTGTTTTAAATGTGAACTTGCCCTCTGGTAAAGTGAACTTGCACAGGCTGTGGTCATTGCAGTCCACGGCCAGGTAACTGCCTTGTCCATGGGAGCTGGCGGGGTGCAGCTGGCAGCTGCCCTCGTTTACGCCCGTCTGTGGTGTTGTCATCCCTCCAGGGACCACTGACCACGCTACGGGTGTGTGGTGGTTCTCAGTCCTGGCCTTGGGGCAAATCCCCCCAGGATTCTGATAGTTTACCAGAAAGGGACCAGGACCTAGGCCGTGTGGCCCAGCATGGTCTAGAATGTGGGGGTGGGGTGGGTTCTTGACTTCATGCGGGAAAGATTTCACGATGCGAATCCAGGGGATTTTGAGAGTACATTTTAGTTACCTGAGGTGGCTAAGAAAGGACCAGGAGCCAAAAATAAGGGACGAAGGGCTTTTATTCAAGGTGGGACACTAGGATCAGGTGGGCTGAGTCCAAGCAGACGGCAGCAACAGGGGAAAGGGTGGAAGAGTTTTTAAGGGTGTTTAGCAGACCCCCAGGTAGGGTGGGTCACCCTGCTGATCTGTCCCAGGTGTCCTGGGTATAGGTGTTTGCAAGACAATGTCCTCTGGTCAGGGATAGCTGCTTTGGGAACAGAATGTCTGGGAGATTTATGGGCCTTGTTTCTGGGAAACCTTGAGGGAGCGGGGAGGGGAAATACGGATCCAACCAGTTTCCAGCAGGACGCAGACAGCTACGCCTCAGTGGCTTCCAGTAAGAGGGAATTTTGCGGTCGGGCATTCAGCTGGCAACACATACCTTCTTCGTTCCAGCACAGGTGGTGGCTTAGGCCCTCCGTGTCTCAGTACATCCTAACACATTTAAAGGTAGGGACAATGAAACAAAGGAAGGGCTTAGGATAGAAGAGGCAAGATCACAGCAACAGGAGTGAGCCTAAGTGGAGTGACTCTTCGATTCACTGAAAAGTTAGGCAATAGAAGGGCCCTCGGAGACAGGTTTAGGGGCTACCCCGAGATGAGCTGCCACTGCCTGCTTCTTCCTGGGTTGCAAGTCTCACTGGGACCCTTAGAGTTTAGAGCTTAGGAGAAAGACAGCGAAGACACAATCCTGAGGGAGGAAGGGGTGGGGGAAGGCACAGGAATTTTAGGGGAGGTCTCGGGAGGATCTCAATAGAATATTCATCAGCTGTCCAGATGTCCAGGAGCCTTTGACATGCTAATGCATGAAAATGAATGTATAGAGGGGTCAGGGTTATTCTCTGGTCAGTTTCACAGGAAAGGGACTGAGGTGGATCTGCCTGAGCCTGGTCTGGAATGTGTAAACCAACTCCTAGGTGTCCTTGGTTCAGGAGGATAAGACCTTGTGACTTATTAGCTGGCTGTAAATCGCTCAGACTTGTTGAACAGTCTCATTTTCCCCACTCCACCTGCCAAAGAATTTTTCTAGCTTCTTAGTAATCTAGCTTCTTACTCATCCAGTGGGAGTGCTTTTTATGATTAAAAACATTTCAAATTTAATAAATGAACAGGAGGTTAAAAGCCATTGCGTTATGAGAAAACATGTTTTTAGTGTAAAAGTTCGCCAAGCAAGCATTCCAGGTTTATGTTCATTCAAAACAGGGTGAGACATTTAAAAGCGTGATATTGTGAGGGCCAGCTGAGCCCAGCGGTCTAGAGTGTGTGTGATGTCGTGGTCCAAATTCTCAAGGGTAGAAAGGTGCATCCCATTTTCCACATGGAACGCCTGGTACATATTCTTAAGCCTACAGGTGGCTGCAAACCAGGACCAAATGGTGGAGGAAATGTTCCCAGAGGACCTCAGACTCGAGGTCCACATTGAATGGGTGGTGGTATAGGGGGTTCTGGAAAAGCAGGGGGCCCTTCTGCAGCCATCCTTCCCTTGCCCACATCCATCACCTCAGAAGGGAAAGGCCTTCTTGGGCTGCTGTTCATCATCGGAGCTGCAGCAGATCCTGGAGCAAATTCACTTCTGGGGGCATCTCTTCGATGGAGCTTCTTGCTTGGCAGGAAGAGGTCTTCATGGGAGGTTTTGCACATGGGGTCTTCCTGGCACTGGCTTTACAATCACAGGTTTTTACAGCATTGCTATCTTTCGGTTCACTTCCAGCAATTTTCTCAGGGTGGCTGTTTCCCTTGTCTCTTCAGCCATAGCTCTTTCTGCAGCATGAGCTCTCAGCCAGTTATCACGAGCTTTCTTCTCTTGAGTAAAAAGCTGGGTTTTAAAGGAGCACTCTGTTTTCTGTAAGGCAGTTTGAAAAAAAAATCCGCAGTTAATTCAAACATTCAGGCAGAGCTGAGAAATTTGTTTTACCAAAAATCACGTCTCATCGCTATTGCTGTGGAGGGTCATTCAGGACTATTTCCCATGGGCAGCCTTGGTTGGGGGGCGGGGGGAAGAGCAGGCAGAGGAAGTGGTATTTGTTTCAGGTCTAGAAAGACGGGTGGGCTTGGGCTCAGCAGAGTTGAAGCACTTCTGTGATGACCTTGGCTGCAGAAGGAGTAGGGTTCAAACCACAAAAGGAAGTCAGACTCTCCTTCAGAGTTCAAATGATAAAGTGGTTCTGCAACCCACGTTATGAAGATCTGTATTCAAACAATTGGCCAGATCCAAAGTTAATTATTCACTTTGATTTTCAACCACAACTAGAGCATGGAAAATAAAGTTTAATTTACAGAAGACCCAGAATTCACACTGGCCAATTTAACCAAGAACCTCAAGGCTCTCTGTATTCCCTGCACTGGTTGTAGGCGAGGGGAGGCCTCAGCCCACCCCCTTGCGTATTTCGGCAAGGTTCTGCCTGAGGCTACGCCCAGCCCTGAGGCTATGCCTGGCCCTGAGCCATCTCCTCTTCTGTGATGGCTCCAGCTCCAGCTCTGTGCTGCTCCCTCTCGCCTCTAGTCTCTGGGTGACCTTAGTTGGTACCTCAAACTCATCATGGCAACCACCACTGTGTGAATCCCTCTTTTGGTCTCCCAAGTTGTATTTCCAATCTCAGTGACCAGCAGGCAAATCCATACTCCTTCTCTCCCTCACCACCCCTACTTCCCAAGAGTAACCCATTCCAGAAGGTTCTCTGTTCTTGACATCTTCCATTTCCCTCCTTGCAGGCCTTCCCTAAAGCCTCTGTGTTAGCTCAAGCCACCATCACTGCACCCCCTGGTCCATTCTTGCTCATCTCTGCTTTTTTTTCACTACCTGGAAACTAGAATGATCTTTCTAGAACGTACTAATGATAATGTAAACTTGTGGAGCATTTACTATATATGTTAGTCACTGTGCTGAGCTCTTTACATTTTAATCTCCTTTCAAGTTTCCCTAAAAAACCCCTGTGGAAAGATATACTCTCATTATCCCCATTTCACAGATGTAGAAGCTGAGGCATAGAGAGGTTAAGTATCTTGTCTGGGGTAACATAGCCATTAAAAGGAAGAGCCTGTTCCAAATGGTTACTCCCTTTGATAACTCCCCAAATCTTGATCTCCAGGGCAAAACGCACACTTTCAGCTTGGCTCGCAGAGTTGGCCAGGCCTGCCTGCCTGTCCAGATTTATCATTCATTGTGCCCCACTCTGACACCTGAGGATCAAGCCGTGGGGAGCTGTCTCCAGCTGCCCAAAGGTCCTCGTACATCGTGCTATTCTTTGTTCAAATTGTTTCTTTTCCCAAGTTGCCTTCCCCATCCAGTCTGTCTAGTAAACACACCTCCCAAGATTCGAGTGAAAAGATGCCTCCTCCACAAAGCCTTTCCGGACTTTGTCCCCCCAACCCCTTGGAGAAGTAACCTCTTCCTCCCTTTGGGCTTTGCTGTATGTACCTGGGCCTACATGTTGTGATTTTGTTTGTCGCCAAGGGTGAGGGCAGGAGTCTGCTTCCTCTCCCTGTGGTGGTGCTATCTGGGTGTTATAACTACAGGTGTTGTGGCCTGACTAATTCATGCCTACGGGCACTGCTTCTCACTCTCTCCGAGGTGTGGGCAATAATGATCTGCTGTGAAGTTCACGTCCTTAGTGTACAGAAGAATGCATCGGTGGCTGACTGCTGTCGCTGGGCTGTGGCATGGCCTGGGGAGCAGGGAGGCCCTCAGAGCCCGGGGAGTGGCTTCCCTGGGACCGCAGACAGATCTGGAAAGGTGGGGAGAGCTGCTGCTGTCTTTGGGTCTTAAATATCTCAAATTCCTTAAGGGGCCTTGTGAGACTAGAGGCAGCCCCAGGAAGCAGTGGAGGCTGCCCGACTGGGAATCAGCTCGGGTGTGACTCCTCTAATGCTCTGCGGCCTTGGCCAGCCCTGTCCTTGTGGGCAGGAGCCATTCAAGTCCTTCCTCAGGCTCTTCCTTTGGGACTCTGTTCCAGGCCATGGCTGAAGACCTTTCCTGCCCCCAACCCCCAAGTCTGGTGGGCTGAAGCCCTACAAGGGCAAGTCTGTTACTGCCTCCCAGCTTCAACGCCCTTTATTTGTTAAATGGAGCAATTACTTGCTTCTCCTCTCATTGCACTTGGCAATGGGTGCCAAGGGAGACCATGTAAGAAGTACTTTCATTTCCTTAGGACTAAGAATGTGGAGGAAACCCCATGGAGAAGAACTAATATTAAGTAATAATTTAAGCCTGAGCTGTCAGGAGCTGGAGCTTGGAGAGTGTGGCTGCCCACACTTCCACAGCGGAAGGACACCAATGGGCTGGAGGAGTGTCCTGACCCCCACATCCTTCCCCTTGCCACTGACACCAGTGATCTTTGCCCAGAGCTCCCAGGTGAACCTGGCGGTTCATGGAGGCAGGCAGGAAGGGTACTGAAAAAGAACTATAGGTCTATACAAAAAAACAGTATCTTTGTTGACAGTGAGTCAGATTGGACTCAAAGATTATTTTCAGGCCTCTTTGTATACCTAGTTCTTCCTCCAAGTGGCTGCAACTGCGCCCTCTCTTGGCCTCCTGAGCCCTTGCTACGCACCTCTCCAAGGAACTTGCATTTCTCTGATACCTACATCGTGATTGGTGTAGTGTCTTTGTCCACTCCCTCATATCCTCCACTGCTTATAGACAAAGGCCATCTCTGTTATTAATCTCTGCATTTCAGCACTGGGAGCCTGGCCCCCAGTAGGTGTTCCACGTGTGTTGAATAGAAACGACGCTGAGATAATGAAACTCAACGCATCATTTGGCATTTGTTTTCAATTCTTCCCTTATTTTATATCATTATACTATTATATTAGTACTTTATATGGTATTTTATTACTAATATATAATATTAATAATAATACTACCATAGGCAAAGGCACTAATGGAAGTCTTATGTATGTAAAAGGCAAATAAACAAACTTTGATCAAACATATCTCTGTCTTCACCTTCCTTTTGCTGATGGACCCCTTTCTTTCTTTGGGCCTTTGCATAATCAGTTTCCCCTTCTTTGTGTTAAAGAGCAAAATTCTACTGAGTAAATCTGAGGATCTATTTGGATTTATTAAGCGATTCATGAATTCAGGCAGCGCTCCAAGGGGTTGATGGAATGGAAGGTTTTTATAGTAAGAAGGATGTGATAGGAATTATTAGAAAAAGAAGAGGATTATTTTTATCTTTCGTGGGGAGAGGGAATGGCCAGAGTTTTCATCATGCAGATTGCCTCTCCTTTCTGTGGGTGGGCAGATCTCATTGGCTTTGTCTGGACTGGTTGATTAAGATTACATTTCCAGGGAAGGTAAAAAATGCAGTGGATCAGATGTTACGTCTGGTTTGGTATCTTGGGCTTTAGCACATGTGACGCCATTTCAGGACTGCATTTTCCTTTTTGAACCACCCCTTCATTGGATGGGATCCTTAAGAGAGTTATACAAAGTGAAGGCATTAACATCCCTCTGGGGCTACCAACTGCATCTCTGTTGCTCTTTGGCGTGGTGTGACATTTTTATTTAATCTCCATGACATGGACAGGTCACAGTTTCAGGTTAATAACCCCTAAGTTGGTCATTCTCTGCATCCTTTTTTTGACATTCCAGTCTTAGGGAGATCATCTGCCTGGCACTTGGCAGCTGCAAGCATGCATTTAAACCTTCTGAGAGACCAGCACACTAGGGAGACTATTATGACAACTAGAAGCAGGATAATTCCCAGTGTTCGGAGTGCATTTTAGAGCCATATTCCCCAAGACCCAAAGCAGTTGAAGAAGAACTCCTAGGGTCTTCCTTTGCTCAACGATCTTATATATTTGAGTTTCTTGCTCAGTGATTGTATGTAATTGACCTTCAGCTTCTACAGGAGCATTGAATCAGGTCCAACAGGTGGTATTGGCCACAGCGTAGACACCTCCTTGCCCAGCCAGTGATAACCACGAACAATTTTGGCTGGAGAGTCTAAGGATTTTTTCTGGGCAGTTAATGTCTCATAGCAACAAGATGTGCAATGTCTTTATGAGTTCAGGAGAAGTTCCTGATCATATTTATTCACTGGCACCTGTTCCCTACCACTTAAACATGTCATTGCCCATGGAGGCAATTCCTGAGTTACAAATGCCCTGGTGTTAACATTTGATGAGTTACCCTGTGGTAGCCATTCCCTACGATGGCCCCCAATGAGTCTCGGCTACTGGTGTTCATGCCTGATGAGGTTTCCTCCCACCTAAGTCAGGATTGTAGGTCGTTTCTACAAGAGGGAGGGACACAGATAATCCAAGTGGCGTTGACCTGCTGGGCACCAGCAATCTAAGCAGTCATAGGAGTATAATAAGTGCCACAAAGATAAATAGCTATTCAAGCCAGGGGTCAGTTAGGTTTTTCTCCTAGCTGGAAATAAAAAGTTGTTCTATATTCCAGAGTTTAATACTCTGGTTTCTCTTCAGACCATATAAATCTTTCACCTTTTTACTATTTTCCCAGAGTTTACTCCCACTCAACAGTGGCCTTGAAAACATGGGAAAGGAAAGAAGGGTTTTTACGTTTAGATAAGGTAGGAAGTCTCGCTGGGCTGTCTTGGGTGGATGCGGTCTACGTGAGAGTCAGTGACTGCTCTTCTTAGTTTGATTTGAGAGTCTCCAGCATTTCTACAGGATCAGACAGGTGGGGCCGTCTTTAGCCGTAGGACGTGCATCCAAAGCTCTGTGCCTTCTAGGTCTGCAGCAGTGTCAGTGGTCAGGAGCGTCTGACAAAGTCCCTTTCAACAGGGTTCAAGGGCTGTCATCCTCTACGACACTTCCAGAACACCCGGCCGGCAGTCTCTATACTGTATAACCAAGAGGATTCCTAGACCGGGGTCTTGGGAAGCTTCCTTAACCTGTTAACGGTATCTTTGAGCACAAGACTTAGTGTAGCTGGTCATACTAGTGTGAGGCAACAAGGGAGCAGCAGAAGGTTACATACCCACAGGCATTTGCCTTCCTGCGCTGAAATTGTGGGGAGTGAAAACGCAGTTTTTCTAACAGTTTCTTTGCCACAGTGAGGTCACCAGCCCTGTGGCAGGGGAAGGTTGCCACCCATCTGGAAAACACACACACACGGGACAAGAACAACATTTTGGTAATCCATACTAAGTGGAAACTGAAAGAGGGCCAGCGGCATGTGCTCCAAGGGTTCTGAGGTCTCTGGGGACAGAAAGAGCTTTTGTGTACTGTGCTGGACTATGAAGGAACACAAAAGCCGGAAAATAGGGATTGCTGGGGAGCCCGTTAGAACCCAGCAGTGGTCTTGGGTTTCCCAAGGCCCCCACGACTCCTGTAATTTATGGCCATTGTTTGCCCATCTCAAGTTTTCTAGTTTAGAAGCAGGCTGTCGCCATGCCACAGGGACATCAGGAGGGCAAAAATGTGGCAAGCGGGATCATTTTTGCGGAAGCAAACTTCATCCATGTGTGCCACGGTCCTTACAGAGTCCGTTGTGGCTACGTCTGCCTCAAAGTCAGCTCGGGCATTCCCCGGACCCTCGGGTTCTGTCCTTTCGGGGTGAACCCCAGTTTTGACAACAGACAGCATTGTTATGCCAGGACATATCGGACTTCCAGGAATTTCATATAATTTCTAGAGCACTGCAATGAGGTCAGAAACTAAGCCTGGATTTCATATCAGGGGCTTTAGCACGTGTGATGCCATTTGGGGCCTGCGGTTTTCTCTCTAACACTTGGAACTTCATTCCCCCCCCCCCCCTTGCTACTTTTTCACCCATCAGAACTCAGCTCACATGTCAGCCACTTAAGGAAATCTTCCCTGATCTCCTCTTCTGGCAGGAGGAGGAGATGTTCATGCTCAAACACGAACATCCCTTCCTAGAACTGTCAGGCCGTTTTCTGCTCTAAGACACTGAATTTCAAATGTCTATGTGCCTGTCTCTTCCACTGGAACGATAGCTCCTCAAAGGCAAGGCCTGAGTGCCTTACTTATGTCTTCATTCATGGATTCCCCAAACCCTTTTTGGATGCCGATCACGCACCAGGCCCTGGTGTTAACATCGATGAGTTACCCCGTGGTAGCCGTTCCCCACGATGGCCCCCAGTGAGTCTCAGCTACTGGTGTTCATGCCTGATGAGGCTTCCCCCCACTGGAGTCAGGACTGGCCTGTTTGACTGGTAGTACATGGCCGAAGGGATGGTATGTGATTCCAATGCCCTGTGGCATGAAACCTAAAGGCATTTCTGGCTTTCTTTGGTGTCTCTTGGGTGGTTTGCTCTCAGGGAAGCAAGCTGTCATGTCAGGGACTGTCACTGCAGCCCTAACAAGTGTCCACAGGGACAGGAACCAGCCTGGCAGCGCCTGGCAGCCCCATGAGTGAGCCCCCTTGGAAATGGGCCCTCCGGGCTCTGCCGAGCTTGCTGATGACCAGCCCCACTGGCACCTGAGGTGCCGCATTTAAAGCCCCTGGACTAGAACTTGCCCTGCTGGGCTTCTCCCAAATTCCTGAGCCCCCAATGCCACGATTTTTGTTGTTTTAAACATTTTATTTATTTTTAGGGAGTGGGGAAGAGGGGGAGAGAAATGTTGATTGGTTGCCTCTCACACACCCCCAACCAGGAACCTGACCCACAACCCAGGCCCTGACTGGGAATCAAACTGGTGACCCTTAGGTCTGAGGGACAACGTGCAAGCCAGAGCCACGCCAGTTAGGGGCCTTGTTGTTTTGAGCCACTACATTTGGGGAGCTGCTATGAAGTAATAGGTAACTGAAGCAATTCTATTTTTACAAAGTTTGCATTCTGGTGGCAGAGATGAGATGAATAGAGTTTATTTCTTCATGTATTCAGTGTGACCAGGTACTGCTGGGTCCTGGGGTTAGAGTGGCAAACCAGACACGACACAAAGTCCCCGATCTCAAGTGAATTCTACAAAATACTAGGTCACAAGTGCTAGAATAAAGAAAACCAGCAAGTTGGATAAAAAAGAGGCGGTTGCCATTCAGACTGTCTAGTCTGTACTAAACGCGTTCACCTTTATCTCAATTAATGTTCCCAAATCCTTTGAAGTAGGTAGTTTATCCCCATTTTACAGAGGACAAAACTGAAATCTGGAAAAGTGAAATGACGCAGCTATTGTCACACAGATGGTGCTTGGCTCACCCAGAGTGCAACTGAGGCAGCTCGAATCCCGAAGGCTCCCGGCCTCGGCAGCACCCGCGGCCCACAGTGAGGGTCTTCCTGTTCAGCCCTCCCTCTGGGGCTTACCCTTTAGCCGCACCAGTACCCGGCATCAATCTGGTGCTAGTAACGTGTCCGTGGAAGCAGCTGGGGAAATGACCTTCAGGTAGGATTGCCTCAGGCTCAGACGGGGTGGGCCGAGCTAGATCTCCAGTTTCTCTGGCTGTAGAGAAGACCTTGGTGCACCCAGCTCTACCAGCAGGCTGGGAATATCCAGCCAAGCCCCAAACCCTTGGCAGACCTAGTCATGGTTTAAAATACGGTGACACACACCCCTTCCCCCCCACTACTTCCTGCCCGCATTCCCTTTCTGTCTTTCTGTGCTGCTTCGTTTGCTTTGCACTCCAGGAGCTATTGTTCTTTCCCTGGGCTAAGCTCACACTGTCTGCTGCTCCTCATCCCTCCTCACAGAGTCCCTGGTGCCTCCTGCCCCTTAGCATCTTCTTTGTGCCTTCTTGTGTCCACACCACTAGATGGAGATATATTAATATTTACTGGATGCTGTGTGCCAAGCACCCACCATTCTATGTGCCCTTTCTGCATGATTTTGTTGATTCCTCATGACAACCCTTTCTCCATCTTGTTAAAGTTCCTTTTTAAGGTGAAGGCTCAAGGTCATTTGGCTACCAGGTGGCAGAGCTGGGATTCAAACCCAAGTCTTTTTGAATCCAGACTTCATTCTTTAGCCAAAATCACACACTGAGCTGGAAGAATTCCAAAGATAGATGATTTCAGAGGTCACTTGGCCGCCCTTTTGCCCTGGGCAGGTCCAAAACCAGATTACCTCCAGAAGATTACCAACAATACTATCTTAAATCAGTGCTAGAGCAAAGGGGAAAAAAAAAATCCTTTAGCAGGTCATTATAGCTTGTACAAGGATTTGCAAGTTTAACATCCCCATCAATGCCCAGCACAAATGATTCATTGGGTAAACATTAAGTTCCTGCTCTGTGCTAAGCCCTGTGCTGTGACAGTTGGGCACGGGTTACCGTGGAAGCAGAGAGGTGCACGGAGCACCCTGGGAAGTAGGGATGTCCGAAGGTGAGGCTGAGCTCTGAACCCTGGCCATCACGTGGGTGTCAGGCCGCACAGAGGCCCCCCTGACAGGTGGAAAAGTGTGCACAGCCAAGGAGAGACAACAGAGAACCTCCTGTCTTCAGCATATATGGTTGAGCTTCCTTCATGTGCTGGGGCGGGATAAACAACGGGATTCTGGCAATTGGTGCCAAGTATTCTTTATCTAGAAAGCAATGGGAAGCAATTGAAGGTTTTTGGTAAGGTGTGGATATAACCAGATTTGCATAGTAGAAAAACTCTTCTGTTCATGGTGTGGAAGATGAATGGGAAGTGCCAATTAAGGAAGCTATTGCAACGGTTTAGGCCAGAGAGGATGAGCAGAGAAGAGAGAGGTGGACGAGATCCGTGGGAGAGAGTTATGAGTAGACTGGTTAAGACTTGGCAACTGGCCTGGGTGTGGGGCGGTGAGGAAGGAAGGCACAGGCTGATGGACCGATCCAGGTTCCTGGTGGGGTGAGTGGGATGTGGTTACCACACGCACTGAGATGGGGGTCAGGAGCACCAGGTTTGAGGGAGAGGTGCTGGTATCGCATTATCCCCAGGCTCCTGAGGGCAGTCCTTATTTCAGACGATGAGATAGAGACAAGAGAGTGGTGTGATCTGCTCACACTCACTCGGCCTGTGGTGTCAGAGGAGGACTCAAACCGAGGTCTTTCCATATGGAATTATTCTTCTACGCCCATACTCATCATCATCATTCATTCATTCATTCATTCATTCATTCAGTGAGACGTACTGAGCCCCCCTGCACTGTGCCATGCATGTGGGGATGCAGTTGTGAACAAGATAGGAAAGAATCCTACCCACATGGAGCCTGCAGTCTAGTTATGGAGACAGACGATACACAAATAAGCAGATGCACATATAATACACTGTTAGAGTAAAGGGAGAGGGGGCAAGAGTGAGAGAACGGGTGCTATTTTGGTTAGAGGGATCAAAAAGGCCTGTCTATAACATATTTGATCAAGACCAAGTGGTGAGGGGACATCATGCAGAGACCTGGGAAAAGAAAATTCCCAGCAGAGGAAAGGTCAAATGCAAAGGCCCTGAGGGAGGAACAAGCTTGGACAGTGAAGGAATCACAAGGTAGCCGGTGTTGCAAGGAAGAGAGTGGTGAGAGGTGAAACTGAAGGGAGCGGTGAGACCCTGAGTCCTTGTCAAGCACGATCAGTGGTTTAGATTCAGTCTAAACATGCTGGGAAACCCTCGGAGGTCTGGAGAAGGGCTGTGACAACGTCTGTTTCTAAATTATGTTTCTCCCCCAAGATACTTGCAGGTTCACATAAGCTGTAATAACAGGGACCCTGTGCACCCGTTCCCCATCTCCCCCCCGATTGTAACATTTTGCCAGACTACAGCACAATATCACAAACAAAGTATCTCATTGTGGTTTGAGCTTGCATTTCCTTGTGGTAATAATGTTGAAAGGTGGTCATATTCTTCATTACCCTCTCTATAGCCTTTCCAGTGAAATGTTTATCAGTGTCTTTTGCTCATTTTCTAATTTTTGTTTCTAACAGTTTTTTGGCTGTTCACTTTTGAGGGGTCTTTATATTTTCTAGACACGAGTCCTTCGTCAGATGTGAGACTTAGTGTACAGCTTGTCTTTGTATTCTAACAAGGTCTTTCATACAGAGCAAAGGCTTTTTAGTTTGATAATATGCAGTTTATCAATTTTTCCTTTTATGGATTGTGGTTTTGGTTGGGCCCCTGGAGCCCCGAGCTCTTCCTCTGTGGTTGTCTGGGAAAGTTGAAGAGTAAACTAACTACAGAAATGTAG